GTAGGCTTGCGTATATGAATATGTGTATGCATCTTTATATGTAGAGATACATATACGTATGTACATGTTTACACCTGTATGTACACATATATGTATTTGTGTGTTTTCATGAGCACGCTTCTATCTGCATACAGTCGTGCACGCACCTGAAGATCTACGCATGTGCACACACACACGCACATAGACACATACAACACATGCACAGGCATGCGCATCAGCAATGCAGCGCCCTTCAGCCCATCCCGCCAGATTGACTGGGTCTTGGACAAGGTGCCTCTTAGATGCCTGATGTGGTCTTTGTGGACCCTGCGGGAGCCTCTTAGATGCCTTCTTTTTGGGTCTCCTCTTAGAGCCCCAGGCCTCTGAGGCTGCCTTGAGGCTATCTTGGGAGTCTTTGAGCTCTCTTGTGCCGTTTCAGGTTCCTGTTGGACCGTCTTCGGGGCCTCTAGAGAGTGTCTTGGCCCGTCTTGGTTCCGTCTGGCTTCATGCCACGTCACGCGGGGCGCCCCAGAAGACACGCTGGAGCATGCGACACTCCCCTGGACTGGGAGCCCTTGGCTCCTTCAACACCAAAATCCGAGGAGTCTAAGGGACATACATCGCCGTGACGAAAGTTTCTTGCAATTTGCCTTTTGGAATGACGCGCTCGTGCGGAGTAGTTCGGAGTAGTTTTACTAGAGCTACTCCGCGCGCAATCGCATCCCGCTCGGTAATCTATATGGTTTGGCGCGGAGTAGTTTCCGATCCCGTTTTGGGGTAACTGAGTTATTAACGTCCCCGGGATCGAAAACTACTCCGCCGAATGACCCAGCATCATGTCATGTTAGGAATCTTGAGAGGGATGGGAGAGATCTTCATCATAGCAAATAGAAGAAACTTTTGTCACGGCTGTGTACCTCGAGGCACGGTCGCGGAGACAAGCCAGCTCCTGGCCCAGGTGCGGCCCAACTTGCCCCCCTGCACATCCGCCCTTCTGCCCTAGAATCTGGTAGCCCATGTGGGGCTTCCGAGGGGACTAATTCGGCTTCCAGTGGCTTCAAGACGGTTGCAGAGGCTGCCCTCATCGCCGAGGAAGGCCCCATACGCTCCAAGGTAGCCGCAGACCGCCCCACGAGACCACAAGGTGCCTCTTGAGAGGCTCCAAGCGGCCTCAAGAGACGCCCCAGATAGCCCACATCTCCCACAAACTGCTGTTTTTTCGATGTTTCCCGTTGTCAGGCTTCCTGTGGCAGATTGTTTTGGGAGCGCTTCAGAGGCCCCGAAGACGCCCCACGACGATCCGAAGAAGGCGCCAAGACGGGCCCAGACCGTCCAACGACGACCGAAGAAGTCCTCCGAATGGGCCAAGAGAGCGCAAACACGGACCAAGAGATCGCCTAGGTGACCCAAGAGGTTCCCAAAGAGCCGCCAGACACGCCAACAAGGCTAAAGACGTCTTGAGAACCTTCCGAGAGGCCCCCAAGATCCCGCAGGAGGCTCCCAATATGCTCCCATGACAACACGAAGAGGATGATGATGCTGATGATGATGATGATGATGGTGGTGGTGGTGGTGGTGATGATGATGGTGGTGATGATGATGATGCTGAAGATGATGATGATGGTGATTATTATGATGATGATGATGATGATGATGATGATGATGATGATGATGATGATGATGATGATGTTGATGATGATGATGACGATGACGATGACCATGATGATGATGATGATGATGATGATGACGTCGATGATGATGATGATGATGATGATGATGATGATGATGATGCTGATGATGATGATGATGATGATGATGATGATGATGATGATGATGATGATGTTGATGATGATGATGATGATGATGCTGATGATGATGATGATGATGATGATGATGATGATGATGATGATGATGATGATGATGATGATGATGATGATGATGATGATGATGATGATGATGATGATGATGATGATGATGATGATGATGATGATGATGATGATGATGATGATGATGATGATGATGATGATGATGGATGATGATGATGAGGAGGAGGAGGAGGAGGAGGAGAGGAGGAGGAGGAAGAGGAGGAGGACCAGTGTAAACCAAAGACTCATGAACGATGTTGGAACAGAACCTCCCTCCGAGCTCCCTCTGCATAGGCCACTGCAAGGGTTCATTTCCACAGGGATCCGCCTCGTTGGGAGACAGCCGTTTGAAGACTCTGAAGCGTGCCAAAACGCCGTTCTCGGGACTCCAACGCCACGAATCAAAATGACAGTTGCGTCTTGGAGATCCGGAATCGTGCCAGAACATTGCTCCTGTGACTTCAACACTGCGGATCAACATAACTGTTCCGCTCTCACATTCGTGAGTCCTTCCCAATTTTTGGCACGTTGGCCATGGGAACCCGTGGAACTCTTTCAACTTTCTAAACGAATGTGCGCGGCGCTAAGACGAGAGCCACACTTTGAGACGAACCGCCCTCAATCTGTGGAGCTCGTGCAGATGTATAGAACGATTGTGAGCGGCGCTAAGGCGAGATCCACATTTTGGAAACGACCCGCCCTCAATCCGTGAAACTTTGCCAATTTGTAATGCGAATGTTCGCGGCGAATTGGCGAGAGCCACATTTTGAAAACCACCCGCACATTTTTCAAACGACTGTTCGCGGCGCTAAGGCGAGATCCATAGTTTCAAAGCCCCCCCCCCAATCCGTGAAGCTCGTGCAAATTTGCAGATCGAATGTGCGCGGCGCTAAGGCGAGATCCACATTTTGGAAACGACCCGCCCTCAGTCCGTGAAACTCTTGCAGTTTTGTGAAACTAATGTGCGCGTCGCTAAGGCGAAAGCCACATTTTGAAAACGACCCGCCCTCCATCAGTGAAACTGTGGCGAATTTCTAAGCTTCAGGGTCGTACATGGTGAGGAAGTCTCAGGCGAAACGCCCGAATTGCCTTTGTGACCAGCCTCGGGGTGCGACAGAGAGGAGTTGTTTACAAGGAAATGGAATGGAGGAGGCGAAGGTGGAGCTGGAGTTGCCCAACATCACATGATGACGGCGTTGCACGATGGCACCATCAGTATAAGTTCACCGCGCACAGGTGTTTCCCGTGCCGTCGTGGTCAGCACCGGAGTCTATACAGCAATGCGTGAGGTTGCCAGCATCACGCTTCATCAGAAGTTTCATGCAGCTGACAACGTGGTAGATGGTGGACGCACTGAAAACCTGAGCGCGCACGAGGTGCGCGCGCGGGTCTACCAAGGCATACACGTCGGAGCCCTCGCTCTCAACCTCCCTGGAGTCGAAGCTGCGTAAGACAGTCGGCAGGCCCGACTGATGCTGCACGCCTGTGGGGTTCAGTCTTCCATTAGCCTCTCCCAGCACGTTCTGGGGGGTGGTCTTCTTCCTCCTCCGCGCTGAGCTGCGTCGTAAAAACAAACAGGCATGTGGTGTCTTGACCTTTTCAACACGCGGCCCCCAGAACTCCCGACCTGCTCCCCAGGGCAGGTTTCTCATCTCGAGCTTTTTTTGGTGACGGCCCCTGGGCCCGGCGAGGGCCCCCGGAGGCCGAAGACGGCCCACGATTGGTGTGTGTTTTTTTGTGGCTAGACGCGATCACGTCTGGGAGGGAAGCCCCCTCCCCGTCGCGGTTCTTCAGGCTCCCGGCGTGTCCCCCCTTAGTTGGCCCGAGGGCGCCACGAGGCGCCAGGAAAGTCAGAGAGGTGAGCCGATTCCCAGGCTCCTTTCTTGGTAGCCCCCCCCTCTCGTCCGACCCTCCCCGGCAGGCGGCCCCGCGCCGTTGCCGCAATCCTCCCGCTCCTCGACCCGCCTGTTCGCCTCTGCCGCTGCTGGGGTGCCGTGCTGGGGCGACTTTTCCACGACGCGGGCATGCCTGGGAATGGGGCCCCCTCCCTGGCGCGGCCCCTCGGGCTCCTGGCGCGCCCCTCTCCTTGGGGGGGTCCGGGGCCCGAAGGGACGGGGGTCAACGCAGACGCGGGTCAGTCGGAGCGCCGGGCCTTGCAGGATCCTGCGGGGCCAGGGGCGCACTGACGCGGGCCTGGGTGCGGGATCCTGCCCGATCCTGCAGGATCTCGCAGGATCCTGTACAGCCCGACTGACCCGGGCCTGGATTGCGCCCGCGACTCCTCGCGCCCTCGGACCCCTCGCGCCCTCGGACCCCTCGCGCCCTCGACCCCTCGCGCGCCCTCGACCCCTCGCGTCCTCGACCCCCCGCGCCCTCGGACCCCTCGCGCCCTCGACCCCTCGCGCGCCCTCGGACCCCTCGCACGCCCTCGGACCCCTCGCACGCCCTCGGACCCCTCGCGCCCTCGGACCCCCCGCGCCCTCGGACCCCTCGCGCCCTCGGACCCCTCGCGCCCTCGACCCCCCGCGCCCTCGACCCCTCGCACGCCCTCGGACCCTTCGCGCCCTCGGACCCCTCGCGCCCTCGGACCCCTCGCGCCCTCGACACCCTCGCACCCCCGCGCCTCGGACCCCTCGCGCCCTCGACCCCCCGCGCCCTCGACCCCTCGCGCCCTCGGACCCCTCGCGCCCTCGGACCCCCCGCGCCCTCGACCCCCGCGCCCTCGACCCCCCCGTGCCCTCGACCCCCCGCGCCCTCGGACCCCTCGCGCCCTCGACCCCTCGCGCCCTCGACCCCTCGCGGCTTTGACCCCTCGCGCCCTCGATCCCTCGCACCCTCGACCCTCCTCTTCTCCCTTCGGAGGCTTCGGTGGCAAGTCATGAGAACCTTCTGTACCCTTGCAATTATGTCTTAAGCGTCGGTTAGCGTCGATTAGCCCCTGGGAGTCGATGACATAGCGCCGACTTAGCGTCGTTTAGCGCCAACTTGCCTCGATTTAGCGTCGATTAGCGTCGATTTAGCGTCGATTAGCGTCGATTCGCAAGAGCCGGCAAGGTGGTATTGGAGGCTCCCATGAGTTGCCACCAAAGGAGGCGAGGGAGCCGAAGGCCTCCGCAGAGCCCCGAGTGGCGCCCCACGCCGCGGCCGCGCTAAACCATGGGCTCCTGCGCGCCCGCCGGCCACGCGGCCGCGCTGCCGCTCGCGGCGGCGGCCGCGGCGCCGCGGCTCGCGCCGGGCGGGCCGCCCGAGGCGGCCGTGGCGGGCGGCGCCGCTTGGCCGTGCGAGGCGCGGCTGCTGTTCAGCGGGGGCGGCGAGAGCTGTGTGGGTCCGCTGCCCCGGGCCTGGCGCATCCCTGCCTCGAGCATAAGAGAACCCCCCCTCGTCGTCGTCGTCGTCGTCCTCCTCCTCCTCCTCGTCGTCGTCGTCGTCCTCCTCCTTATCCTCCGCCTCCTCCTCCTCCGCCTCCTCCTCCTCCTCCTTCGCCTCCTCCCTCCTCCTCCTCCTCCTCCTCCTCCTCCTCCTCCTCCCCCTCCTCCTCCTCCTCCTCCTCCTCCTCTCCTCCTCCTCCTCCTCCTCCTCCTCCTCCTCCTCTCCTCCTCCTCCTCCTCCCTCCTCCTCCTCCCTCCTCCTCCTCCTCCTCCTCCTCCTCCTGCGGGTCCGCTGCCCCAGGCCTGGCGCATTCTGTCCTCGAGCGTAGAATCCATAATCCTGATAACATAGTGCAGATCCGCTGCCGCAGACCCAGCCTGGCATCGAGCATAAGGGCACCCCTAACCTCCCGTCGGGCATGTCCCTTTACAGGATGAGTCTTCAATGATTGTAGAACAATAGTCAGGTGGCGATTTTTCGCGCACTTTGATTATGTTATAGTATTTTCGGACTATTGTTTAGTTTTCTTCAAACTCCGCATGTAGGATGACATGCCCGACCTAACCCTAATTCTGCTAACATAGTGAATGCGTGGCCTCACGGAGGTCCCCCTCTCTTTGCATTCGGGACTTAGTAGTCTGGGCGGTTTGGTTTGAGACATTTGCAGAAGAGGCCCCCTCTATCCCTGATGTTTTTGACCTCCTAGCTTAGGTCGCATCCCAGAGGGTTTGGGTCCTGTTCTTATTGTTAATCATCCTGGGCCCAGGAGCGGTGTATGTGCCTCACTGACGTGCTCGCGCCGTGGAACAAATCGCGACGGAGGTTTTTGCTAGTCGTTTTCTGCCTCCGGGGGGCACTCGCCGGCCCCCAGGACCGTCAACAGAAGACTCAGGATGACGAGCTGACCGTGGGGAAGGGGCCGGGACTTCGTGGGACCGCTACTTGAAGAATCAAGACATTGCATGTCTGGCTACATGTCATGGCGCCAACATCGCAGAGCGGCTTTCGTTCCGAAAACGATAGGATGGGCTCGGAGAGTCCTGGAGAATTTCGTTCCGGATTTCGAAATGAAGTTCGTGCGGATTTTGGCCAGGAGTGAAGACTACGTGAAATGCACTTCGTTTTTTGCTCGCCGTTCCGGGGTTTTGCATTGGCAGAAATCCACGCAAAAATCCGCTGCAGCACGTCTGCAAGGTCGGTGCAGTGATATATGCCCACTGCCCCGGGGCTGGCCCATCCTGGGCCCAGGACCGGTGTAAGGTGCCCCTAGCTTTAAGTCGGGCCTGTCCCTCTTCTACAGGAGGAATATTCCAAAATAGTCCTAAAATAGTCGGGGGACGATTTTTCCATTCTGTTTTATAACTATGTTTGAGGATTTTGAGACAATTGTTCATATTTTTTGCTCCAAAGCCCGCCTGTAGGAGGACACGCCCGACCCAAGTAACTCTAGCCTGGGGACACGCCTGTAGGAGGACACGCCCGACCCAAGTAACTCCAGCCTGGGACACGTGCAGGCCTCGTCGCCCCGTCCTCCGGCACGCGCAGGCCGAGGCGAAGGGCTCGCGCGAGGGCGCGGCGAAGCGCGAGGAAGGAAACGACGGCACGGGCATGCAGGCAGCATCGTTTGCCCGACCCCCATCCCCCGTCCTCATTTCGGCAGCCTTGAGACGGGGGTCAACGCAAACGGGGGTCAGCCAGAGCGCCCCGGCCTTGCAGGATCCTGCAGGGCCAGGGTCGCATTGACCCGGGTTTGGGTGCAGGATCCTGCAGGATCCTGCAGGATCCTGCAGGATCCTTCGCACTGACCCGGGTTTGGGTGCAGGATCTTGTTGGATTTTGCAGGATTCTGCAAGACCTGACTGACCCGGGTCTGGATTGACCCGGGTCAGAGGACCCCCGTCCTCAGCCCCTGCGAGGCCCCCACCAAACTACCACCCCAATTGGGGATGCGCCCCTCGAAACCCGAAGGGGACGGCCTGCATGCCCACCTGGGGGTGTAGAGCGGCCAGTGGAAAGCGGCCAGGGGGGCCCAGGCCACGCCGCTGGGGACGGGGATCGTTTAAACGACGCTGATACAGTGGGGGCCCATGCTAAGAAACACCCTGCTCTTAAAGTCCGTCTGTAGCGTCGATTCGCGTCTGGGAGTCGATGAGATGGCGCCGATTAAGCGTCGGCTAGCGTCGATTCGCAAGAGCCGATAAGACGGTATGGGAGGCTCCCATGAGTTGCCACCGAAGACTGCATAAACACCTGTTCGGAGGTCGGCGCGGATCTCCGACAGTTTGACGTTTACAGTGGAGACCCATGCCAAGAAACACCCTGCTTGCCTCCAGGGTGCCCTGGGTTTCTTGGGTTTCGATGGTTATGCGATGGAAGCAGTGACGTCCCCACGCCAAAAACCCATGGGACCTCCTGGGGTTTCAGGGTTGGGCTTCTGGTGGGAGGCTTCTTGTGTGCTCGGGCCTTTCCTGTACATCCTCGGAGCTCCGCGCGGATTTCTCGGATCGGCGCTGGGCGCCCCTGGCGGCGCCTCCGGCGCCGCCCCTGGCGCGCGGAGCGCGCTGGGGAGGGGGGCCCTCCAGCGCGGATCCGAGGACTCCGCGCGGAGCTCCGAGAGCCCCTGCTCGTGCGGGTGGTTTGCTTCCTCCAGCAGCGGGACCCGGGCCTGTCGCCACATGGGCACAGGCAGGCGGAGCTGCTGTGCGAGCGGCTGCGCCGCGCGGAGGGGGCGGCCGGGCTCGTGGTGATCTTGGCGGGCGAAGAATGATATACAGTCAGACCGAGGCATGAGATC